GTGTTGATAGAATTGGGTCATATTTTTTTTTTTTTTTCTTTGCTCAGCCCGCAGGTTAATTGGCAAAAATTCATTAGGTATATGGCCAGGCTTAGTTTCTTCATCACAGAGACACGTTAGTTAGTAAAACTTACATTTTCCTCAGAGATATTCCCGAATATGGAGCTGATTCTGATATAATAAAACAGTATTTTAACCTGCATGTTATAAAATGTTAAAAAAAATAAAATGCTGCCGTAAAGTGAGTAAAAATGTTACAGAGTACTGTATATCTGTGTATATAGATCTCAGTGTCTGTGTGCCTCCCAAACAAACTTTTATCAGTTTTACAGTTTTTAATCTAACATAGAAAATCCTATAGATCCACATCACCACAATCCTTTCATTGATGCTTCTATCATTTGTATCAAATTGCATTACAAGAGATTGTTACAAGAAGCTTTTTGTATCAATGTATTGTAGTGCATCTTGATACAGATTAAAGAACAAGCATTGTTAAAGAAATACACATAAAATCTGCTAAAACGAGTATATTAAAGTGACATTAAAGCCAAAAAATGTTTCCCCTCCCCCCCATGTAAATGTTAGCACTTACCTCAAATGATGTCTCCTATTCTGATCTTCCTCTTCTTTCCCCATGTTTTCATGTGTCCCTCCAGCGGTGTGACGTCACTCCGATCCAGCTCTGACTACTCTGTCTCTCCGATCCTGCGGTCTCTGCAGGCGGGTGCACGCGTCCATAGACTTACCTTGCGTCTCTGCTAGTCTACCGGGCGAGAATCGGAACTGCGCATGCGCCCGCCCCAAGATCCTTTGCGGCCGTACGATCACTTCCTGATTCTCGGCGCGGGATCGAGGAGCGATAACAAGGTAAGTTTAAAAACAGTTCAAGCGGTTTTTGTTTTTTTAAACTTCTTGCCTATATCTACTGCTTGCTAGCAGTAGATATAGGCAAAAAAAACGGGAGGGTTTAGAACCCCTTTAACTGCTTTCAAAGGAAACAAGGTGATGCCGGAATTTACCTAAGCCCTTAAAAAAATAATTTGCTTTAACTAGAATGCAGAGAAATAGTCCCACAACCTTTAAAGTGACACTAAAGTCATAATTCCCCGCCATGCTGCTTTTAAAATGTGCCCATACACTCTATGATTATCGTACGATAATCGCGGGAAATCTACGATTATCGTACGGTAATCGCAAAGCGTATGATTCTCGGCGGGTTAGTGGCGTGCTTGTTCAACAACTGCTGAACGGGCTGGTGTGCGCCAGTTCAGCATTGCAGTCATCAGAAGCCCGCCCCTCAGCGGGGCGGGCTTGCGATGATTGCAAGTATGATCTGCCTGTCCAAGATGGGCAGATCGTACGTTTTTTAAATTACTTTACAACCATCGCAAGACAAAAGTCTTGCGAGGGTTGTACAGTGTATGGCCACCTAAAGGAATTACCTTAAAATGATGCCTCTTGATCCGATCTTATCTCTCCAGGAGTCCCATCAGCCCTGGTGCTGGTCTCTGATCCAGCGCAGACTTTTCGGGTCCCACAGTGTCTGTCCGATGTGCACACTCAAGGCTGCATGCATTCACCTTCACTCTCCTCTTCTCCACTCCAAAGATCTCTACTGCGCATGCGCACGCCCCATCATCCTACACGGCCGCTTGAGAAGTTTAAGATCTTCAGCCGGGAGTGAGTGGCGGAGACGCAGGCAAGTATTTAAATTTGTTTTAGGTTTTTGCATACATCTACTGCTTCCTAGCAGTAGATATATGTATAATAATAAAAAATAAAAATGGGACTCATCTCAAAAATGAATTCAATTACCTTAACGATTAACAAAAAGGTATTTTGTGTATCACTCAGCTGTAGATCCTCAAATCAGCTCTAAAATGGTGCCAACACTGCCCTTCCTTCTGAAGGAAGGCTAATTTTGTTCACCATGGTCCCTGTCTGTTCTGTAAAGTAGTCACCGCTCCTGTGATGGACTACAATCTCACGTTTAGTTTACGAATTTGTATTGAGATTGTAGTCCATCACGGGAGCGTTCTTGGAGCGTTGACTACTTTACAAGACACACAGGGACCATGGGGAACAAAAGAAGCCACCCTCCAGAAGGAAGGACAGTGTCAGCACCAATTCAGAGATGATTGGAGGATCTACAGCTGAGTGATACACAAATAAGATACAGTTTTTGTTATTAGTAAAAAGGTACCTGAATACATTCAAGTTTTAACTCCTGAGTTTACTGTCACTTTAACCATAATTCTAGTTGCCTAGTGCAGGTGTTACTAAATATTATTCCCACTTTTCTTTGATTTTGGTTGTTGCATTTAGGGAGTGTTAAAAGCACCAACTTAATTTTTCAAATATTTTGGGTTTTGGTTAATGTTTTTTTTAGTGCAGTAGTAAAACATACTGGAGAAGGTCCAGCATTAGGCCGCATTCACACTACCATGTGTGTAAGTGCGTATTGTACCATATGCAAATAAATGGCTCCATACACATAGCCGCGCATGGAGCCGTATATTTGCGTAGCGTAAAAATGTGCAAAAACAGAATGGAACCGAGATGTGCCCGAGCAGCGTATTTCACACGCATATGCATGTTTGCGCGTGTATAGTTCATTATCATCTCTATTAGGAATGATGCATTCTGGGAATGCAAATAGTGCGCACAATTTTGCTCTTGCATTGTGTGTGAATGAGGCCGTAGTGTTCAAAAGGCATTCGTAAAATAAAAAAAAAAAACAGAATAAAATGTACCAGCAGAGGAACTCATACAGCTGCATTGGGTTAATTCTGCTGGACATTACAGAAAATGATCACCATAAGAGTATGAATGGATGCGTTTTGTGTCCAATGAATGGCCAAGTCAATGTTAAGAAATTAAGTATTTCTAAATTCAGACCGCATGTAACCAGCTGTAGCCTAGTTTTCACACAGACAATTCTAGGTGAACCTCAACCAAGTCCATAAGTGGACAGCTGGCGCAAGGTCTGCAAATATAGCCTAGTGCCAGTGACAGTAGGCTGCAGATGTAGGCAGAAACAGAAGGTCAGAGCCACCGTGAATTGAGGTGACAGAGCTATCAGATGTACAAGGTGAGCTGGGGATACTTGTGGTTGGTTTCATTACCCCTATTAAAAAAAACAAAAAACACAACCTTTTTAACCTAAATCTTAGTGCAGTTGCCCCCCTTAGGTAAGAGAAGAGATCTTCCAAGGCTCAAGGAAGGAAACCCTGATAGAAAGACAAGAAAGTTGAGACCTTTCAGGCAAGGGAGTCGATTTACCTAAGCCTTCATTCACATATAGCGTTTGCTTTTCGTGCGGCACGGAACGCTAAAATCTTTACAACTGCATGGATTCCGCTCGTTTGCAGCTGTTACTAAAGCCGCGAACGTGCGGAATTACCCCCTAAATAGCGTGGCCGCCGCAAAAGTCTGAACAATGAACATTAAAGTGCATTTTTTTAATGTTTAGAGTGGAAACGCACATATTCATACGGCCGAATCCGCACAGACAACCGCTCCTGTGTGAATGGAGCCTTTAGGTCAAAGACTGATCCTCTAGGTTGAAGGCTGATGGAAGCCTATCCTGGGGAAAGAAAAAAACTGTACAGAACCCAACACAGTATGTGCTTTACGTTAATACACCACGACTTAGATTATGTTATGTGGCTTGAAACCCGGTATGTACCTAGGTCTAGTAAAGGACTAAAAGAACTGAGAAAACAAGAAAAAACAGCAAATGACGAAATTTAGCATAAGCCAGAAGTGGACACATTATTATGGAATTCAGGAGGCCAGTCTGTACATTTCAGATGGCAGCTCCTTTGAAAACAACTAGAGAAAACTCCAAAAGTTAGGCGCCAGCTGTAGTTTAAGGAGCATTGGTGACTTGACTCCTGGGATTCGTACAGCCCTGGAATAAACACTTTAGCAATATAGGAAATCAGATAATGCGAGAGAATAATTCATTTTGAAGATTACATTTTTGAATCATGTCTGAGAAAGGAGGTTTGGGGCAGATTTCACATGTGGAAAAGCAAGGAGGCAAATTAAGAAAGCACGCTGGAAAAGAAGGGAGGAAGAATGTCAGACAGTAGAGGGCAAGAAAAAAAAAAAGTTTAATATATGAACACGAGCACATGCAGAGAAATATTAAGCAGCAATGGAGAGATGCTGAAAATGATGGTAGAAAGAAAACGAAACGGGAAAGTAGAGCTACAAAGTTTAACCCAGAGTGGACTTTGGCAGAAGTA